CAGAAGTCTAAACATGTGCATTGGGTGCACCTACGTTCGAAAACTGCTATTGCGCTGCCCATGTTGGCTTTAGCTGCACGAACCAGTGTCAGCGCACTTATTCTAGGCTAACTCTAAATTGATGACCTGTAAAGGCCTCCAAAGCTTACTTTATAGACCATTTGGGGTACCATTATTTCCTTTCACTGTTTAAAGGAGAACTATGGGGTCAGTGTTTTTCCCCATAGTTCTCCTTAGGGTAATGGGAGGAAACAAACTAGCGTCCTCCCGTTACCCTAAGCTCAGTATACCGCGAGCTACAGCTCGCGGTATACTGAGACGCCGGAGCGGATCCCGACCTGGACGTCGGGATTCGCCCAGCTGCTTGAGTGACAGCTGGCTCTGCCTATCTTGAGGCAGAGCCAGCTGTACCCGCCCCCTCCCCCGTCCGTTCTGCCAGTCAGCGCTGGCAGATCGGAGCGGGGAGAGGGGAATCCAGCCCCTCCCCCTGTCACGGCAGAGAGCCGTGACAGGATCAAGAGGTGAGCGAACCCGGTATGTGTTCTCTCACCTGCCGATCTACTGAGCCGACCTGTGACAGTCTCATTGTCACAGGTCGGCTAGAACTATGAGGTGAGTGGAAATCACTCATCTCATAGTTCTCCTTTTAAATGGCCCACACAATTTTAAAGGTCAACGTGTCTATCTTTTTACTTGGCACCTCCTCCTTTTATATTTGATATACTCCATTGTGTATGTGCACACTAAAACTAATTTGAATAGTTTTGCTAATATTGTATCACAATATTGAACCTACCACAATTTATTGTACAGGGTCTCCCAATTTTAGAAAACATAATGTTGGGGTGGGCGGGGGTTAAAATTCCAGGCTTCATGTGTGTCAAAATGGGGAAAAAATACGGCTGCAGGAGCGAAAGGATTCAGGCACGTCTCCAACATCGGGTTCAGTTTTCTCAATCGGGAAAGGATTAGGGAGGGAAGATGAGCATATAATTGCATGTCACATGTTAAAATCTCTACTCATAGTAGTCTGGTTCTGTGCCACTTGACCTGTAGCCAGTATGTTATGACATATGACCCCAGTAGCTCTGCATCTAGGATGCCAGTGTTGGCAAAGCTTTGATTTTCTTCATTGAAGACTTAGCTATGTCGGTTAACAAATGCTACACGACCTGCATTTTATTATTGATGAAGTTTTCATTCTTTTTAGTACTCCTACCCTCCCTCTCAAATGTGCATCTAATTGATTTTAGGGCCTGTTCACACCATAGCTCTGTGTTAAACTCGCTGTGTCCATGCCATTAGCACACGTCATCGCACAACTAAGCTAGCGTGCGGTCTTGTTCTCTGGTTTGCTGCCGTTAATTTGAATGTTACCCCAACACACCACCTGGTCGCCATGCATTGCAGTGCAACATGCGGTACCAGGATACCATGTGGCGTGGTATACTTTTTTTTTTTTTTCTTCACCACAATGCCTGACTCGTTGCAAAGTAACACACGGCCACTGGGTACAACACGCTAGGTGTGGGTGCGTACGCTAAATGCACAGATACCGTATGTTTAGAGGAATGCTTTGGTTCTGAATGGGCCCTGAAGCAGAAATTGTTGTGAGAAATGCAAGTGAAAAGACATCATTGACAATCCTATGTTATAAAGGGTCAAGTCACTCAAGCCCGGTATTTTGGCTTTCATAGATGCCATTGGTTTGGCAAACTTGAGTTGATAGCTCAGTCGTTCTTTACACCACGTTTAGCAAAGATGCGTGGAATTTATTTAACCACAATTTCAGTGTATCTGTCGTTGGCACTACGTAGCACAGTTGAAAATTGAAATTAGTCTAAGCTATGTTCAATTCACATCTCTGCTTTAACACAGAGATAAGGATCCTTATTTTTGCCATGTGACTGTAATTTTCCGAACTTACTAAACGCTTTTTTTTTTGTGAACAAGAATCCTTCTATCCCGGTGTGTTAGCTTAATGACCTTCAGTCTACAAGCTTTCTGTATAATTTCATGAAATTACATTCACATGTTCAAGTTATCAAAAATGGGTGCTGCCTTAAGGTGCCCATACACTGCACGATTCTCGTACGAGAATCGCAGGAAATCCCGCGATCGTACGAGAATCGTGCAGTGTATGGAAGGCGTGCGACCGTTTCTACTTTACGGTCGCACGTCTTCCGTTGAACCAGCATGCTAGAAAACCCGCCGGGAATCGTACGATTCTGGGCGAGTTAGTGGCCTGCTGGTTCGACAACTGCCGAACGGGCCGGTGTGCGCACACACCCCTTTTGCAGTCATCGTAAGCCCGCCCCTCATTGCAGTCATCGTAATGATCGCAAGTACGATCTGCCTGTCCAAGATGGGCAGATCGTACGTTTTTTTTAATCACTTTACAACCATCGCAAGACTAAGGTCTTGCAATGGTTGTACAGTGTATGGGCCACCTTTACTCTTGCTGTGCAATGTTGTATACTTATTAAATGGACAAAAATAGCAACAATTTTTTTTTTTTTACATTTGATATGTAAATCTTACTGCTACATGAATGCTGAAGTGATCAGAAATGGCAGACATTTAAGTGAATTGAAATGTTCCCATTGTTTATCCACAGCTGCTGTTTGTATTGCTCGGCTAGATCTGTAACCAAATATGCTTATGTAGGGAACTTGTAATGTGATGATTCACGTGTGTAGCTTTCTTTTGTCTGAATGTTTCCCCCTCTTTCTATAGGATTTTCCCATTCAGCATTCACGTTTGGTATAGAAAGCCATATCAGCCAGTCTAATATCAATGGTGCCCTGGTGCCACCTGCTGCTTTAATCTCCATTATTCAGAAAGGATTGCAGTATGTTGAGGCAGAAGTTAGCATTAATGAGGTAAGTTTTCCCCCCCCACTGCTGACAGTATGCCTTACTAGCTATGTTTTATCCTCTGTGCTTACTGCTATTGTTACTTGCTTTATTGGGGCTGTTGCCATCATGGTTCATTGCTTTATAGGGCTAATCCAAACTTATGTGGCAGTAGCTAAATTGTCTATTGTTAGCTGACGTGGTGACCATGTTGTAGCTAAGGGCTTGACAAATTTTCTTTAAATCCAGGAAAAAAAAGTTAAAAGCCAGTTTTTTTTTTTCTTTTTTGTAGGGGGCTTCACGTTCACGGGGGTGTGGGGGCTTTAATTTTCTTTGGTATTTTTATTTTATTCAACTTATTTTTTTTTTTACTCATTGGAGGTGACAAGTTCTCTTTAAGGTGACATTAGGGGTCTCCTAAACCCCTAGTGTCACCTTTCCACTGTAATAGCTTTAGCTGGGGAATGACAGCTGTCTGCTGAGGTAACCGAATGTAAAAACAGCGGGCAGAAGTTCTCCTTTAGGTCCTCCTCTGCTGAATGACGGCAGGTAGTGGGTGGGCTCAATAGCCAGCCTGCTATTGGCTACTGCAATTTAAAATAGCCAATAGCAGGCTGGCTATCGATGCCAGCCGCTGGGTTAGAGACCTTTTGTGGCTGGCAGTTTATCCTAAGAGGTGACATTAGGGGCATGATGGGGGCGGCACGAGAGAATGTGTCAGCGGTCTCTCCTCACAGGCTGTGATCAGGTGCGGCTGTCTGTCTCCCCTTCTCTGGAATGCATTGATTAGTGCACACTACCTTATTTTACATTATTTTGGTGTCTAGGCAATTAGCCTTTTACTGACTTAAAATGTTAAATACTTCTCATTTATTTCCACAGGATGGCACACTTTTTGATGGGAGGCCGATTGAGTCACTCTCGCTGATTGATGCTGTTATGCCTGATGTGGTACAAACAAGACAGCAGGCATACAGGGACAAGCTTGCACAGCAGCAGGCAGCAGCTGCTGCTGCGGCCGCAGCAGCTGCAGCCGCAGCAACAGCAAACAACCAACAGCCACCTGCTAAGAATGGTGAAAATGCAGCGAATGGGGAGGAGAATGGAGGACATGCACTGGCAAGTAAGTGTATCCAGAGAAAACAATTGCTTATTAATTGCTAATTGCTCATTGTCCTGGACTCCTCCATGAAAAAAAAGAAGGTTCCCTATTTTACAGTTTTCAGGAATGCTGCAGCTGAATGTAGCTGCTCCATTTGTTGACTAACTCTGGCATTTCAGTGTGGCCAGTAATTCAAGAATAAAGCTGAGAATCTATTCTTTCAAATAAAGTAAACATTGGTGTGTAGGAGTCCTTACAGCTTTGCATACACCTTTGAAAATAGTGTAAAAGTATGAAAATTCTCTAGATATTGATTCACTGGCTTCAATACAATAGTCCAGGGCTTAACATTTCAAGTCTTGAGCTACTAGCCAGGCCTGAAAGTTACTTGCCACCAGTTGCCTCACCCAACCCCTACCCTGCCCCGGCCTTAACTCCGCCCCTAAACACGCCCTCTTAAATTATCTTATGAAATTACATTGTTAAATGTTTTATTCAGAATAAAGTTACAAAAATAAATGACTTTTACAATATTACCATAAAGCAATGTAAACATAAAGGAAAATGTATCAAAAAATGCAGAATGGCACCAGTTAGAGGACTACAACTCCCAGCTACACTTTATATATAAATGCAGAATGATAACTGCTATAGAGAACTACAACTCTCAGCAACACTTTATCCAAAAATGCAGAATGGAACCAGTTATGAAGTTTTGCTGAGAGTTGTAGTCCTCTATAGCTGTTATCATTCTGCATTTATATATAGAGGACTACAACTCCCAGCTACACTTTATATATAAATGGCGCCAGCTATAGAGGACTACAACTCCCAGCAACACTTTATACAGGAAAAACCTAATCGCCAAATAGAAAAACAGTAAAGAACTGCCCCCAACTTCCTATGGCATCAGTATGATGTCACATTCCCGCCAGATAATTCAAATAATAAACCTAAACAATCATGAAAGGGAAATGTTTTCCAACTATCCTAAAAAATAGACTGGAGTACCTGCTTGCAGAGCTCAAATTACATCCATGACCCTTTGCAGATCGGTCTCCCCCTCCTGGGAAATAGCAGTGTGGAGATCAAAGCAAAGATCACAGCACCCGGCCGTTAGTTCAGGCTGACTTGTGCTGCCACGGGAACAGGGACGCCTATAGCTAGATGCCGGGCCACTAAGTTCGAGCTCATGGTCCCGTCTGCCTGCACATGCGCAGTAGAGAGCGGGTATCTATGGTGACAGGAGACGCTGGCTTCTAATAGACACGTCTCCTGTCACCTGTCTAAACAAAGACACAACAGCCGGAGTCGATCGTAGGAGGACAGAGCAAGAGGAAACTGAAAGTGCAGGAGAGAGCGGATGGATCTCGTGTCTGGCTCGCCCTCACTTTATTTCCACTCGCCAAATGCAAGCAGGCGAGTGGAAATTTTAAGCCCTGCATTAGTCCATGATCTGGAATGAAGTATGCAGATCATGAAAGTCAGAAAAGCCAGGTCACTGACTAAAGGTATTAAAACCAGAGACCAGCATGGCAAACAAGCAACTAGTGTTTAGGAGCGGTCAGCAGTGGTGACTCATGTTTTTCTCAGGATATCTTTTCTTAAACACATCCCGGCCGTTTTAAAAAAACGGCCGGCCAGGAGCTATCTAGACCTGAGCGGGCGTCTTTAGACATCCGCTCAGCCACGCCCCCTCGTGCGCGAGCGGGAAATGCCCGTTATTCTAAAACAGGCAGCGATGCCCGTTAATATACAAGCGATCCGCCGGCGATAGAGCCAGCGGATCGCTTGTATGAGGTCCCGTGAATTGCGCCCTCCCCGGCTCCCCCCCTCCCGCTGTCAAGCAGTGCCCGGTGCGAGCCCGGGACCAGCATACGGCCTCTGTCACGGGATCAGAGGGAGCTCGGTACACGAGCTCCCTCCGGTCCCCTCTCCGCTGTCAGGATGCGGAACTGATGTATATTACATCACTTCTGCATTCTTGTGTCACTCTCCAGCTTCAGATGCTGGAGAGAAGCTGATGAAGCAGGTCTCTGCTCCATCAGCTTCTTCAGGGGGGGCCTAGGTGACATTAGGGTTCTTGGAGACCCCTGATGTCTCCATAAAGAGGACCTGTCACATATTTTGCTATCACATAAGGGGGTTTTCTAACCCCCCTATGTGATGGCAATAAAGTTAAGTGAAAAAAAATTAAGCCCACCCCCCAAATGTAAAGTTACAAATAAAAAAGAATTACGTTTGTTTTAAAGACTCCCCCATACATACACGCATGCAAACAGGCGTCGGGTGCGCATACGTGCAAAAACGACGATTTCGCTGCACATGTTGCATATCGTCGTGAACGTCGGAATGAGAGCAATAGTTCTAGGGCCATCAAACACTGATAACACTAAGCTGATGAGCTGTAAAAACTTTTAAAGCGTCGCCTATTGTCAATTTTGGCTATGGTAGTTTTTTGCCATTTCGCGGGTGCTCGCAATTTTAAAGCATGACATGTTTGGTGTCTATTTACCCGACGTGACCCCGACTTTTATATTTTACCAAAATTATGGGTAATAATCATTGTTTCCTAACATAATGGAAACATTTTTTTTCCTTAATATAGTAAAAAATAAAACCTCCAGGGGTGATTAAATACCATCAAAGGAAAGCTCTATCTGTCCCCAATTTTTTTTTATAAAATTCATTTCAGTACAGCGTTGCATGACAGAATAAATGTTAGTCAAAGTACTACAGCGCTGAGCACTGAAAAATGGCCTGGACGGGGAGGGGGTCTAAACACCTGGTCTTAAAGTGGTTAAAGGTTTTCTTGAACCCTTTTCCTTATTATGACGGTATTAGAATGCTGCTTTGTAAAGAGTTGTGACGTTCTAAGTTGGCTTATAAAAAATTGAAGTGATTCCGGATTCTTAAAAATCACACAGCATCGTGATAAAAAGTAAGAGGGCTCTTGTATATCAGATTTATTTAAAAATATTTTTGAATGCCTTTTTGCAGAATTAAATGTAGTGCAGCTATACGTAGCAGCTGCTTCTGTGATGTCCAACTGGTTGGTGTTTTACGTAGGTGGGTAGGTTAGTAATGGTTCACATGAAGTATTACCATTCCTGTTAGTACCACAGAAATCTCAGCAGAAATGTCGTTCATGATCGTTCATTCCACAATGTTGCTTGTGTCCTGCCATGGAAATCTAAAATCCAAGAGAGGAGCGTTAGGTAGTATGAAACTGGGTACACATGGGTATATTGACCTTGGTGTGTGCACTGGTATTAATGGAAATTAATCACTGCATCATGTCAATTTAATATTCTGTGCCATTAAAAAAAAGTTTGCAGTAAAACTTGCTGGTGTAAATTTTTAGCTAAATTGTTAAATGATTGTAAGAAAAAAAATGTGCCCTGACGCTTTGTATGCTTTGAGCGAAAAAACAGCCCTTGGGGAGACGTCAGATGGGTGATTCTGCTCCTGGTAATAACTTTCTCTGCCATAGTCAGAATCACCCAGGCAAGGTGAGCTAATGGAATTGCTTATTTGCTGGCCACAACCACCGTAGATTTTAATTTGCTAGCAAGGGAACAGCAAGTTGGCTGCACTTCACTGGTCTTGTTAAGGAAGGAGTGACTCCATATGAAAAGGAAATACATCTGTCAATACTCTTGTCACTGGCGAGATGTCCCCAGCAGAAAGATCACTGTTGGAGTACAGCATGTTGAAGCTGGGAGATCTCTGTACAGCACTGTATTAGCTTCGGCTACTACATTCTTTTACAGAATCCCTGCATATTTGCGTTGTGCCAAGCTGGACCAATGTAAGTTTATACAAATCTTAGAACTGGAGATCAGCTGTAGGTTATTAGTTTTTCATTTCAAGTTTCTTGAGGAAGAATGATGTGAACTGTGTGGTTATGTGTTCATTACATGCTCTTTTTTTTGTTGGTATCACTAAATATATAGTCTGGATGAAAGTGTTTTTGTATTATGTTCCTGTTCCTTTGCAGGAGTTGTCACCTGTAACAACTGGTCAAATTATTTAATTTTTTAATAAATTGTAAGGTGGAACCAGATTGGTGGTTGTTGCCAATAAGACACTATTCACAAATCCGCCCCTATGCTATAAAGTATTCACACATCCCTGCGTTTTAAAAAACAACTCCGTCAAGGTAACGTTCAGTTCTCCTTTGAACTATTGTGGTGTTAATCCAGGTATGAAGAAGTGAATAGTCCAGTTTAGGAATGGCACCACTACTGGTTCTAGATTGTTTTCCACAAGCTTTGTAAACTGGGCTTAGTGGTTGGCGCTTCTGCCTTGCAGGACTGGGGCTCCCTGGTTCAAATCCCAGCCAGGTCACTATCTGCAAGGAGTTTGCATGTTCTCCTTATGCTCCCAGTGTAAAGCACTGCGCAAATTGTTGGCATGTTATAAATACCTGAAATAAATTAATAACTCGAGATTGTTTAGCTCTGTCTGAGTTACAAATGCAGACACTGGGCCATTTATCTAATAGTTGGCTGCATTGGAGTAATTCTAGTTTACCAGCTCTTGCTAGCTGCCAATCACCCTTGGCCCTTATTTTGTAGTGATAGGTAATTAGTAATCATTATTTGGGTCCTGGTCTAGCTGCACTTGTCATTTTTTTAAAAGGAGGTTAAATAGATCACCCTGGATTACTTTCTCAGTTTATTCTTAGTAGAAAACTGCTGGCAGGGGGAGAAGAGGTTACGTGAAGGAGCGTTCAGGAAATGCCGCATGAAAGTTTCCTTACCCGTTAAAATCCTTATATTCCATGACCATTCTTTTAACAAATGTGTCTAACTTCAAATCTGAACTGCTTTAAAACCATTTGCTAAGATCTCAAACATAAAACTTCAACTGAGTTCTAATTAGCTGGAGGTTTCTTCAAATGTATGAAAAGCACATACAGGCTGTAAATTTGAGAAGCCCCTCTCGTAAGTCCTCATGGTCCAAGCAGCATATGAAGGTTAAACTATTAAAGGCCCCTTTACAACGTCATTCCATTA